ATCCTGAGGATGACGTTGTAACGTCGAAACATGTAGAGTCGTCAACTCTAATTCACAGTTCCATTACGCTAATCATCAGGTCCCGCTCCGTCCACGCATTACAAAAACTGTTAAAAGTAGCGGATATATGCGCCTAACATTAAAAAAAAATAAAATTAGCGATCTGGTGTTGCAAATAATCCTGCATCATGTTGCATTTATGAAATTTTGTTTTCTGCCTTTTCTGGTGGAAATTCGTTAACAAGTAAAATTACATATTCTCAATTTTTCCATTTACATGCTTAAACCACAGTAGGTCCGAGTGAGGAGTAAAAAAATTAAATACTTTATAAATATTTTATTTATAGCACCAGCCAATATATAACGTTTTGTATAAACATACTGAGTATTACATTTCACATCAAGTTAAAAACTCCGGTGAAACTTTGCGTTCTTTTAATTAAAACCGAACATGCTAATGCTTGTTTAAAATGATTAAATCAACTGCAGTTAGCTATCTTGATCTTAAAACTTATCTAATTACATAAAACTTTATAAAAGTAGCCACCGATAAGTACAAAGTCTGCCTGTCCGGGAGTTTATAAACAATTGGCTTACAGAAGAATGAAATTAGCAAGGATGGCAAACGAAAAACTTTGATATTTGTGTAATTTACGTAAAACAAAGATATAAACTATTTGTGTATAAACACAGTATCAAGTGTTTTAAATCAACACTTATAATCTGACCAGGTTCTGATGTCGTTTAAATTTTCCGACTGCTGGAGTATGTAGGAAAATACATGTTTATACTTAACAATGACAAAGAGTAGTCGTCAAGAAATTAATGTAGTTTTTTTTAGATGAAAAAACCCGAACAACTTTTATATCAAGACAAAACATATTAAATGAAATAGTCTCCATTCTTATCGATGATGCTTTTCCATCTTACAATCAGGTTGTTATTACCCCGATTAAAGAAATCACTTGGCTTTGAAGCAACAAAACATGTCGATGTCCTCTTTGACACCTTCCAGATTTGCATACGTTTTCCCATTAAGATGATGTTGCAGCCAACAACAAAAAAAAAAGATGGTAATTTGATGATGCCGTATCTGGAGAATATGGTGGGTGGGGGAGAACTTCCCAACCCAACTCTATAATCTTGTGTTACGTCAAACGTGCCACATGCGGACGTGCATTGTCGTGGAGAAGAACACATTTCGAATTGACGAGTGAAG